AGCAGGGTAAGTGAACTGCGCCTGAATTAATTTAGAGTGATAGCGAACTTGCGTGGTATCTACCGCACTCCCTTTTCTTTCGCTCTCCTAGGTTCAGTGTCCAGGCTGAGTGAAGAAGATCAGAAATTTGACCGGGCGCAGGTAACTGACGTGGATTTAACATTCACCTATGTGTGCGAATGCTAGCAGATACGTAGCAGTGTCTGCCGACACAAATTTGGTCTGGCTTATCAACTCCCTGAGGTTGACTCCCATATGAGCTCACAGGAGGCACTTATGACGGCTCATGCGCACTGATACTTTGGGTGCGGACCATCGAGTCTCTGGACATGCGAATGATCATCCGGCTGCTAACTTTCTTCAACCCATTCTCCACTAGCTGTGTACAAAAAAGACAATTGTGGTGACTCACTCCACATAAGCAAGCATGCCCGAAGGCCTACCGCTCCTAATGCGTGCGTCTGCACCGAAGGCGGTCTCTGCAACGGCTGATCACAGATGTCGCAAAAGCTGGTCTCTCCCGGTGGCGAATAAGAAGCAGGCACGCCTAGGTCGACGGAATCTGTCCGGCCAATAACCTTCAAGGCAACCAGACAATGCACGTCCTCGCTGCCGCTTCCATTTCTGCTGCTAAACCCCCACTTGGACTCGAATGGCTCTCCTGGCCGGTTGTATGCTCTCAAAGTCAAATCTTTTTCAACCTATTCTCCTTTCATCTGTGAACACAATATAGTGGTCCTACTACTCCGACCTCTACCGACTTCTTCTTTACTAAATTACCATAATTTTAAGATCACAGTTGCTAGGGCTTAACTGACTTAACCCCCTGCGATACTATTCCTCCCAACTGGCGTCCCACTTCTTCTCTTCTCACTCTGAATCGGGTCTGAAAATCGCAACGGCTAAGATCTTCCTTATTAAATTAAGCCACTACATTGCACTCATTTGGCACCCGAGTTGGCTTAGAGCACCTACCGAGTGATCCGTTTTAAGGGTTATACCAGTTAGTGTTGTGATTGCACCTACCAACAGACCATAAATGCCGTTCTACTCAGCCATTCGAGTAAATTATGGATGGACACTGAGCTCGAGTCTTCTGTCTGTGCACTCTGTATTGAGCGGTGGCGGACTCACTTGATGAGACAGTCCTCGACTCCCAACAGTGCTTGTGTGCAATCTGTGTTTCAGTTCTAATTTTCCTTTGGCGCTGTCCTTTCTAATTTTGCAGTCTAATTTATTTTGAGCCCATACTCCTTGATAGTTTCACTGACATACCGGCAGCTAACTTAATAGGGCGATAATTTCAAGAATCAAGTTAAGCAGTTTCTGTGGTACTAACAGTAGCGTATGTCCCACAATAGAAGCCGGCGCTGAGCTTAGTCTGTTGCAACTTTCCATTACATTTTGTCCATTCTCCGTACGGACGAACATGTGTACGGTGGTAGGGGAACCGCGGCTCTTCCAGCTTGCTAGTTTCCTGCCATACTAGTGACTTATGATCAGCAGCAGTAGTCAAGCTATCTTCAGGACGCTGCAAGACTCCGGTAAAATCCGTATCTGAGAGCGATTTGTCCTTTTCCATTTATTTCGACTAAATATAGAACCCCGCGTTATCTACGTATCTACAGCGTTCATGCCTGCGTTCTTCCAATGTAGCACCCGAGAGAAAGAATAGCCCACATGATAATGAAAATAGGCATAGCTCAATGGGCTAAGTAAAAATATATCAACAACGATCGCGTCCGAGTCACTTTTTGTCTGGAAAAGGTGACAAGAAGAAAAGATTTTTATTTAATTATAATTTATTAAGCGAACATGAGGGCAAGGATATTCATAGTGGACAGAGGAGACCAGGCAACACATGCGCCCATCAACTCGCGCCGCACTCAATCCTTATTGGAACCTCTCTCTCACAAGAAAGGCGGAAATTTATAGAACGCAGACTTCTCACGACCTTCCTCTTTTCCTGTATGACAATGAATAACCTTCCGTCCATATCTAGAGTCCACAATTTCCGTTGACTTGGCTTGCCGTACTTCAACTCCGTTCAGCCATTAACGGCTGAAAGTAATAAAAATTGGTCAGTCGCATAGGTAGATTGTACATAAACCCACGTATTATAAAGTTGAATATAGGAGACATCCATTCCGTGTAAGGACCGACTCTTTAAGGATCATTCGTGGTATGATGTGAATGGTTTAGAGTAAGTATGCAATATAGGTTACTAATATTATTTCGGTAGTGCATTAAGGCTCATTGGAAAAATTCTTACTCTGTGTGATACTCTACCGAACTTACGCCAAAATATACTGCGGGGAAATAAGTTGCACCAGATTAGTCATAGCCCCTGGAAAGAGTGGGCGGCCGCGACCATCGGGGCATTTGCGCTTTGTGGAGGCTTAGGGACATATGCCAGTTCGACAGTCACTTTTGACGAAATCCCCTGTGTGTTAAACTACAGCGTACTGCAGGGACGGTTACTTGGACTAAATTATAGACTTGCGCTGCATCTACTTTACCTTCTATTCCAATCTCCCACCTGTAGTGGCTGCCAAGAGAGTCAAGAAGGCCGGTTATTGGGAGGAAAAGTGTCTGCGCACCCTGGGGACATGATTTCATGGACGCAAACCTACTTTATAAACAAATAACGACGAAGAATAGGGAGACCGAACTATCCATTTCCGAACTGCTGGCCGTCATCTGCCAGTCATATGCGATGCCAGATGTGTTTTGCCTGAGTTTCGGGGATGGTGGGTGGTCACCGCTCTGGTTGTGAAACATGTTCGTCCTGCCTTGAAGCAAAATCTATAGCCCTGGAAGGCAATCGCATAGCGACTCCTATTACAGACGGATAAGGCGGTATACGCCGCCGCTAGAGGAAGAGGCTCAGAAGGATCTCGGGGTATGGATCATGCCTTTACCTTGTATCTCATCAAGCGAGCTCTTGCTAAGTTAAATGAAGTATGCTTTTGTAAGGCCTTCGGGACGTTTGCGCTACCTCAACTGGAGTTTGCCGTCCAAGCTTGTAGACCATGGACAGTCACAGACTAAAAAAATCCTCGAAGCGTTCAACGACGCGCAACCAATTTAGTAAAAGACCAAGGATTTCTGCCTTATGAGACACGAGTGTCCCATCTTGACTATTTTCCTCTAGATAACGGGCAGCTATGGGGTGAACTAATACAGGCATTTCGCATACTGTAGTTTCAGGAGTGTTGTCTTGCAACGTGTGACTGGGACAACATTAGACCTAAGGAAGTTCACCTTCTCTGAGATAGTAATTAAGGAATAGAATGCCTGCGAACGTTTTCATGTCCCCATCCGTGGGCATATTTAAGATGAAGCTAGACCAGTATAGCCACCATTTCATCTTAGACTAGCAAAAGGCAACCGTTATAGGACACTGACGAGTATTTACATTTTATTTTTTTATAATTGTATTCTTTGCGTTGTTCCCTATGTCTCTATGCGAACTGCAACGATCACATCAAATCATCGCCCCAAAAACCTTGTAGTACTGAGCTGCGTGGCCCTGTAAAGTTCTTCCTAATAGCGGCACATAACCGACTTCAGAGGATCATGGTGGGCCTCTCTGTTTTTGGGCCCTGGTCGGCAGACTTGGCAACCACTAAGGACATATGATGGGCGCATCTCCGACACGTCGATGATCTTCTCGTGACCCCTGCGATCGTCTTCTTTTCGAGTGACCCTTAGAACATTGATAATAATTGCGATGAGCTCCGCCTGACTTGCTTCGAACACACTCAGCGGCAGTTTTTCTTCATAAAATCCCTCAAATGGCATTCAAACTTCTAGAATTTGTGAACAGTACCTACGGAGATTTTTCACTGTCTGCTCTTTAAACTTGCATCACCATTCTTGAAAGGTTCTGCTTTAGTAATGCATTTCATAGCTGCTCTTAACCAATAGGAAGTTAAAAGACATCTATCCTTACTTTCTTTAGTAAACCGGAACTTAGCTGACAAAGACGTAGGTGTCCGGAATGGCCATTTCTGTCTTAATATCCGTCAGCGGCCAGTCATGCTTATTCCCAGGTGTAGATCACCTGATATTTGAAAGGAAAGGGGATGTTTCGTAAACAGATAGGTGAGCCCTCCTCTATCCTACTTCATTAAGTTGAACATGTTGGCAAATCAAGACACAGCAGATGAAATGTTTAATCACATCACGATACCTCGGCATTTAAATATCAATAAAACTATAGGAGGGCATTCCCGTAATATAACTTTTACCGTCTGTCATCAATGACCTGTAACAGTTCACGTGTGCACGTAAAGGCTACTTAAACAAGCTCGAAATGAAAAGCAATGCACTTATGAGGCTAAAAGCATATGGGGTTCCGGCAAGTAAGTACGACTTGATGACTGTCAACTCATAAAAAATGTCTGCTATATCCTACTAAAACCACCAAGGTCTTCAAATTCAGCTTCACTTCCAGCCTTGAACAATTTGCTTATAGGACAGAAAAAGGGCTGGCAGAGATAACAAGACCACTCGAGTTCAAACGAAAGAAGGATATAGAGCCTAAGAAGGACACCACCTACCATTTGGAGGCCTAGGCCCACCGCCATGTCTAACCTCAGCATGAAATGTTCAAGATGTCTGGTCATATAGCAAGAAGCACGCAGCCTCAGAATTTGCCAGACGTCAAAGATTAGTATTGCTGACAACACCTAATGAAAGGATGGTTTTTGGAACTTAGCATGAGATAATAAACTGTATCAAACGTTTTAAAATAATTACCGTCATTTTAACTAATTTGGAGGTTGATTGCGCGATAGTTGGTGCTGTGACCGTCCTTTGGCCTAAGCTGTTGAAGTTGCCGTGGCCGACGTGTTTTCCTAGGGGGAATTAAGGAGAGACCCCATAGGACGGCACACCTTTTACATACCATTGTACACTTGTCGCAAGCAGGTCGAAGCATCTTCTCCTTTTAGAGCAGCCACAATACGCTCTGAAGGCTTGTGAGTTGTTGGTGCATGAGCGAGGTTCGAATCCTCCTGGCTGAAGTCTTGTGGCTTAGGGCAGTTCTGCCTCAAAGTAGCTGCATGTTAGACAGGGGAAGCTCGCCGAACAGAGAGGCGAAGCGCCTGCTGAAAATCTCAGATGGCATCCATCAGTTGCTGCACAGGGCATCAAAGAAGTCGGCTGTGCCCCACACCAGGAAGCGTATGACGCAAGCCATGGAGAAGGTCATTCAGCGGTTGGCCACTCTTGCGTAGAGTTCTGAAACCTTTTACCCGTAGACACTTG